GCATGTTTAAGGCACTCTTTCGCCCTAACTATTTTATTTTGGCTAATAAAAATTTGTAATTTTGAAATTTTGTAGCCAGCTTCATTAGCTATCGGATAGCTTTGAAAATATTAAAAAAGGTTGATTTATTCTCGAGTTATTATAATTTAATTAGAGTTGGATAAATGAGAGATTAAAGGGGTATTAATTTTAAATAATTAAATTTTTGGCGTTCTGTTTTAATTTAAATAAAAAGAAATAGTTAATGTGCAGAGAAAAAGAGAAGGAATTTTCTCCTTATTTTTTTGGATTTTTTTGCATTTTTTTTTGTTTTTATTTTTCAAGATATGTCTGAAGATTCCAATATTTTAACTAAAAATGATTCTGTTCCGGCACAAGAAATTGATCCAATAAATAAATATACTGCATTGTTTGTTAGGGTAATTTTATTTTTTATTTAACTTTTTAATCATTTTTAATTTTTAGGGGACTATTGTTGGGACAGGAATTGTTGGATTGGCTATTTTTGTGAGAAGTTCTCGATGGGTAAATTTTGAAAGAAATTTTTTCAAAAATTTTTTTTCAATTTCCACAGTTTGCAACTTATCACCATGTAAAACAAATTCCTCCCGATTTTTATCGTCTTGGAATTGAAATGAAAGGAATTGTGAGGGAATTGGATAAAAATGGAAAAATTAGAGTAGAGCATTTACCTGCTTATAAATTACCCAAAATTTTGAGATTTGGACGGTCTTCTAAAGCTAAGGTTTTTTCAGTGATTTAAATACTTTGTAATAGCAGGGAAGGCAATAAAAGGAATGGATGGGCCTTGATATAGGTTCAGACTTTGATTTTTCCTGTGTTCAGAGTCAATATCGAGGCCTAAAACGAGATTTTTTAATATTTCCGATCTCTACACTAAATCAGACTTTACTAACTGCTCCCATGCATAGAACCGGAGTCTCCCATTAAGTGCTAATCGTGTATATTAACTAAAGAAGTTTAAACTTTGCAGGATTTTCTCAATCTTCGACTTGCTGGTTTGGACATTTCTCCTGTTGGTATTGACTATTTAACCAAGGATTTGAGGATAGAAGGACGCCCAGTTGCTTTTAGCGTGGTTAATATTGTTGAGAAACAACCAGATATTGCAAATGCCGATTTGACGATTAAAAAGGTTTGAAATTTGTTTGAATTTTTAAAATTTATTTGTTTTTTGGAAATATTTTTGAATTATTTAATTTTAAAAAATTGAATTGGGTTGAACCTCAAGTAAAATTAAAGTAAATCCACTTAACTGTACATTCTATTTCTAGCCTTATTGTTAGTATCGGGTTTCTTGTTGGGAAAATGATCCAAACTTTTTTCAAAAAAATTTTTAAAATCCAAACTATTTTTTAGCCTCTTCGAAAAATAAATTTAAATGTTGAATTAATTCGCAAAGGATATGCACGTGTTTTTGGTTTAGATAATTATGAACATGTCCAGACATTACAATTTAATTCAAACTATTCGAGGCTAATTACTCGACTTTTGACTTGCGAAAAGGTTTTTTTGCGATTTTTTTTCAAAAATTAAAAAAAAATTTTAGGTTGCCGAAAGACGCGGTTTGGGACTTTGGGAACGGACTACTTGGGTAGAAAGTTTTGCTGCTTACCCAGCAACTTTGTTTCAAATAATTAAACAATCTGCCGTCGTTAAGCTTTGTGTAGGAAATTTTTTTATTAAAAATTTTCTTGGGACTTTTTGACTACTGATTTTTTGACTCTAACCTTCTTACCAAGATTTATGAACTTTCACCAAAATGGACATTTTTGCGAATTTTTTTATTCTACATTTTAATTCTTCTAGAAAACATTATAGAATACTATAATTGAGCAAGATTTTTGATTTCTATAATCGAATCAAAATATAAATTTTTTGGACATCGCAACCCAATGTTTTTTTCTTTCAAAAAAGCAATTTTAAAATTTCCAAAAATGGTCCCAAACTAGAGATTAGACTAGGAGTTCGATATCTTGGAAAATTTTGATTCTCGATAACCGAAATTTTTGTCAAGATCTCGTCTTCGTCCGATCTCTATTCCAAGCCTCCCTTTCTTGTCTTATTTTTTAAACAAAAATTTAATTTTTTTTTCAAGTTCCTCGCATATTGGCTAATTTATGATATTTTTCTCAAATTATCAGCTCTTTCAAAACAAATTTTTTATATTGCCAAAACTCTTGGAATTTATTCAATAGAAGGTTATCAACGTTTTACTCGTTTAGTTGATCGTTTAATTAATTGGTATTCTAATTTGAAAGGTGGAAGAAGGGCAAAAAGAATTGAATGAAAGAAAAAAGAAGAGAAATTTAGAAAATAGATATAGATTAATTGGTCAGGTTTTTGGTATTTTTATAAAATTTTAAAGGCTTTTGTCCGTAACGGGAAGTCCCATAAATTGGAGATTATTAGAAAATCAATCGGTTTTTTAAGGCATAAATATTCCTGTCCATTAGAGTTGACAGTTCCGAATATTTCCGAATATTCCTCTCCAATTCGTGTATGCGAAAATTCTGATTTGGATATCCAGATATTCTCAGGAGCCTCCAAGTCAAAAATTGAGAGATGAGCGTTGCAATATCTTTACTGCTAACTTTGAATTGTTTGACATTTTTTCTTATTCTTTTTCCCATTCCCCAATCAAAACCAAAAATTCTCTTCATTTTCAGTCATTTCTGTCACAATATTTTCTTTCTTTTTTAGTTTTGTTAACTTTATTTATTTGACTAAAAAGTTCACAATCAACAGAATTTCATACAAATCTAAATTATAAAATAGGGAAAACATTGAAATATTTGAAAAAATAAACAAAATCTCTTGAGAGTATTAATAATTTATTTAAAAATGATTATAGACTTTTTAGTCAAATAAATATAATTAACAAAACTAAAAAGGAAAGAAAATATTGTGACAGAAATGACTGAAAATGAAGAGAATCTTTGGTTTTGATTGGGGAATGTGAAAAGAAAAAGGGAAAAATATTTTGGGTTCTAAAAAATATTTCCCAAATGAGGTAAAGTAAAAAGATTTTTCGGTATGGAAGGAATTTCGTCAACTTCTTACTAAATTCTCAAAATTAAAAGGACAAAAGTTTTTCTTCAAATAAATATTTGTTTGTTTTTTTTTTTTGCTCAAATTTTGTTTTTAAATAGTTGTCAATTTGGCTTGAAATTAAATAAATTGTAAAAAATACTTTTTTATATTAAAATTGTTTTTAGAAAACATTTTAAATATTTTTTTGTTTCTTTAAATTTTTTAAATTTAATTTTAAAATTAATTTTTTATCATGTCTTTATCTTTTGACCAATTATTTGAACATTCTTTAGTGTTGACCAGTCGAGAACCTAATTTTTTTGAAAAAGTTGAACATGAAGGGGATGGAAAATATAAATTGAAAATGTTGGAGGTTTGTGGATAATTTTTTTGAATTTTTTAAAATGGGAAGAATTTTTGTGAAAGATTTTTACTGTAAATAGGAGGTTGTATTAATACATATTTAAAATATTTGGATGACTTTTGCGGAAGCGAACTTGAAAATGAAAGATTTTAATTTATCTAAAATAGGAATTTTCTGTTTATAAATTGTGGCTACATTAATATGTACAAGTCTTTTTCATATTTTTAAAAAATTGTCCAAAATAATTCAAGAAATTTTTTTTAATTTTTTAGTCAGCTTGTTCAAACAACGATTTTGTTGACTTTGAACATTGTCCTTACACAAAAGATTTGCTCAATAAATCCAATTTTATTTCAATTCTCAAACTTGGGTGGAATAAAGTTTATGATCAAGATCCTGAATTTAAAACTATTTTTGATCCGAAAGATGGGGTAATATTTAAATAAATTATTTTTAAAAATTATCTTACTAAAATGAGTCTCACAATATATTTTCTTAAGTTTAAATTTTCTTTAAATACTTGTTTGACCATTTTATATTTGCAACTTTATACTAAAGTGAAGGGAATTGAAGAAATAATATTGGGGTAAGATAATTAGAAATCAATTCTGAAATCTGATCTAAAGAGAATTTTGATAACCCCCGGCTCGCCCTTTTTTCAGTCCGTAATGTTTTACAAAAATTTACAAAAATAATTTTTAATTTTCAAAAAAAGATTGGAGAATTGGAAGAGCAATTATTGGCCGGCCAGTGGAGTCAAACAGCTCGTGGACGTACCAAAAAATTAGCTCAACACAAAGCTGCTGCAAATGTTCTTTTGGATATAATTAAAAGTGGAAGACATAAAGAGGTTTTTTTGGAATTTTCTGAAAAAAAAATAAAATTATTTTTCAAAGTTTTTAATTCCTGGAAGAAATGCTGAAGAAGCTTTTAAATTAATGTAGGTATTTATTTAATTTTTGAATGTGAAACCTTTAAGCGTTATATAGTAGGGGTATAGCCGTCCCGATTTCCTAAAATCGGAGATTTATTTTTCGGGTAGATTTCTGTTATATAGATGGAATTAACAGAGTATAAAAATTTTATTGAAAAAGAAAAATAAATTTAAAATTTATTTATATATCATTTTTATTGCCTATTTATTTTTTAGAGGGAAGCAAAAACAAATTTTATTTTTTGTTTTTTTCCATTTTCTTTCTGTCAAACTCTTTACCTTAATATTATTTCTTTACAATTAAATATTTTTTACAAATTTTCTTTTTATTTTAGCAATTAAAAATAGAAACAATTTTATTTTTAAAAGAATCTTAACAAAGTTTTATAATTAAGGGATGAATCATAAATTGTTTTTAAAATCTTTTTATATTTCATTTATTTTTCCTTCTCTTCTTTTTTTCTTTCTCTAACAATAACTGGAAGTCAAGGCAAAAGTCTATTTTTGTTTCCTTTTTTTTTAATTTGATAAATTTTAAAAATTATTTTTTCTATCACAACAATCAATTCTGTTGCAAATTTTTTCAAAAAATATTTTTTTTTCAAATATTCAATCATTTAAAAAATATTTTTTAATAGAACGACAGCTATGAATAATGAACAAGGCGAGTTAATGGAAGGAGACAATAATGAAAATAATGGAAGAGGGGGGACGATTAATATTAGACAAGGAGGTGGTGTGGTGCTACAAAAACAACAAATAATTAATTGGGTTGGGAGAGTGCAGGAATTGTTTGTTTTTTTTATAAAAAATATATTTTGATTTAAAATTAAAAAAAAGATTTTGGGAAAATTGGTAAAAAATTTAAAAATCCGCATAAAGTTTGCGGACTGTCTGCTAATAACTTTCGGATAAATTAAAAAATTTTTCTGCGGATTTGCCGTAGGAAGTACAGTCTAGCTGGATTACGCATGGCCGGTAGTACATCTATGAGTGTGTTAAAATTATTTTTTACTAGATAAATTCTGAAGACAAATGACCTGATTAAATTTTAGGATAATGAAGAAACGAATTGTCTGTAAGTGGAACGACGCCTATACTAGTGAAAATGAAAAATCAAACGATATTATGCACAATTGCAAACTTCAGTTTGACATTCTCGATGGTATTTTAATTTTTCAAATCCGCAAAAATTCTGCGGATTTTTTAATTAAAATTCAAAAATTATTTTTTAGTTTCGGCCACAAAATTAGAACGTCGTTTAGAAGCTGATTCAAAAGCTAGGAACAAGAAAATGGCGAAACAAGAAGCTTTCCGTAAAATTTATGAAATTTTGATTGCTGATTATGGACCTTTTAATCAAATAATTGTGGGTAATGAAAACAAAAAAGAAAAGAAAGAAAATATTGTGACAGAAATGACTGAAAATGAAGAGAATTTGGTTGTGATTGAAGAAGGTGAAATAATAGAAGAAAAGGTTTAATTTTAATTTTGAGGGACTTTTGGGGGGATTTGTTTTAAAATGTCCAAGGGGAAAAATAGTGTATGTACTTTAACAATGGGAAAATTCTTTAGTTAATTATTTGATAAATCGTCTAGTAATTTCAGTAATTTTAAATAATTCTTAAAAATTGAATTTATTATCTTTGGGAGTTTAAGCGAACGTTCCTAAAAACCGAAAGATTAACTGGCCGTAACTCTGTCCAAAATCATTTTGTACCAAAATTGATATCACTTTGCAATAGGAAGTCTATTCAACAGTAGCAAAAAATATAGGTGTTTAGTAACTTTTGGAGGTCCGCTAAAGACACAGATATTTTTTGTCCGCAAAAAACTTGCGGACAAATTTTTTCCGATTTTTAAAATTTAATTTTTAGGTTATATCAAATAATAATGTTACAACAATCACTTCTACAACAGACAAATATTCATTAACACTTTCTCAAAAAGATTTGATAGAACTTTCACATATTGAAAGAAGCCAAGATTGTACTGAAACAATTGATATTAGAATGCTTTTGAGTGATATATTAATTGATAGAGAAGTGAATACTCCACGCTCTGAACGTTTACTGAGGTTTTTAATTTTTGGAATTTTTTTAGGATTTATGGGGGGAGGGGGAGGTTTCGGTTCGGGATGTGGATTAATCCATTTATGTAAATGTAAGATCTCCAGTGATCTTACCATCCAAATACAGTCGGATCTCTAACTATAACATCGGTGGAATTTGGTTGATCATTGGGCAGCAAGCGCGTATTTAGGGAGTGGATTTCAGGATGGAATCAAAAAGTCAGAAAATTTCTATTCAAGCTGGGGTGTGCTTCAAAATTTTGGCGCTTACTTTAACAATTAAATTTGTGGAAAAATAAAAATAACCTCCTTAATTCTCTTTTTTATAATATAACTTCAAAAAAATTATTTTTTTAGATGTATTTTGGAATGGAAAAATCCTCAAGTTGAGCGTGTATTTAGTCAAGCAACTTTGGAATTTATTGAGACTGCTAAAAGTCAAATCCACGGTTTAATTGAAAAAGAATTTTTGAAATTTTTAAAGTTTTTATTTTAGATATTTTCCAAGTTTATCTACAAATTTCGTCTACTCAAAACAACAAAAAGTCTGTGTTGTGTACTTTTGGTGGCGAAGGAAGTGATTTGCAGAGAGCACGAGGTATTTTATTTTTTAAAGGGCTAAAATAAATTCTGTAGACAAAACTTACGGATTTTGTGGACTCTAACCTAGATCACCCAGCACAGGATGTCTCGGATTAAAAAAAGTCAGATCAGGTTTTTGAAAATTTCTCTGGTCGAAAAGTCCGGGTTTTAAGTAACCCGAGACATCCCCGACCCAGTAAGGATTTCTAAATTCTGCATTAGACAAGTTAAATTAAAACTTACGGATTTTTTTCCTTTTTACACAAAAATAACGTTAATTAATTTTAAATTAAAATATTTTAAAGATGATGCATGTTGGCAAGCATTGGAATATCTTTATATTTTTGGCGGATTTGCACCTAAAAATGGCAACAAAAACGGGGAAGCATAAATTACTTATTTTAAAAGTGTGATTATTTTAATTTTGAACCAAAAAGAATATATGTATTTTATTTACAATTTGATAATTTTGACTTTTTTCTCTTTTCCCCTCCCCAACTCAATTTTTGGTCTTCGTCTTATCTTTAAAATATTACTTATATTTATTTTTTTGTAATTTGAAAAAGAATTGACACTTATTTAAATTGTTGTATTTTAAAATAACGGGATCCCACAAAATCAGGATCCCGGCAGCATTCCGATATACACATAAATACAATCGTCTTCCTTAATCCCCCAGTATCCATTCAATATCACGATATCCTTTTAAATCCCTTCAAATTCCTATAAATTTTAGGATGAGATTAATTCTGAGGGATCCTGTCCCCTACGAATCTGAAAGAAATCCACGTGAAGCAATTTTGCCGCACCCTGTTAATTAAATAAAAAATTATTTTAAAAAGCTCCCATTTATTATACAAAGGGATTAAAATTAAAAATTGAATCAATTAAAAGAAAAAACAAAAAATAGAATAAAGTGCCATTACATTACCACTTTAAAATTTATATATATTGAGGGGTAACGGATTTTTGAAATTAATTAGAAATTGTGTTTTTTAGAAAAATTAAAAAAACTCAAATATCCGTTAAAAGAAAAAGAGCAAATAACAAAGAAAAGGCTGCCGAAAATAATAGAATGAAGAAAAGATGGTGTTGCACACCGAACGAATTATTTACTAAAAGGATAACTTTGTCTTTAAAATAGTTCGGGGTGCAACCTTTCAATACATTAAAAACCCTGCAAACTAGAGGAGGAGGACTCTTTGTGTTTTTAAATATATAGAGAAACCAAAGGGGATCAATTAATTTTTTAAATTTAAAATTTACTTTAAAAAACATTTATTTTTATTGATTGATCCCCTTATAAAGTTTCAAAATAAAACCGAAAAAAGAATAAGCTTCTTTGCAATTTTGTAAGTTAATATGTGCAAAATATAAAAAGAACATCTCTCGGGAGCGAAAAAAATACATAAAATAATATTACCTTATTTTTACTCGATTAATCAACTAATTTTTTAAATTAATTACTGGGAGGCAGTATTTCTCTCGAAAAATTCTTCTAAGTTTTTTCTAAATAATTGAAATTTGCTATTTCATTTGCTAGTGGAAAATCCTACCAAAAGTTTCCGATCTGTCTTTTTTCCAAAAAAAATCCTAAATAAGTGAGAAGTAACCCTTCTCTGGAATTATTAATTAATCAAAGGGAATCAATTAATCGAGTAAATGCAGTAACTGAGGCACTTTTTAAACATTTTTTAACTTAAAATTTAGGAGCAGGTAATTGCTCATATCCATATTCACTTGAATCGTTCATGTTGATAGAATTAGAAATATTTACACTGCTTTCGTCCTCTCTTTTTTGAACTGGTACTTTCAAAACAAGTTTGGATTGAGAGTCCTGAAAAGGTTTTGAAAGGGTAATATTCTAAAATTTCTAGAGGTGTCCCATTTTTATATCTTCACCTTTTATGCACTTTTGAGCCCGAAACCCTTTGATTAATTACCAAATAAAAAGGAGAAATAAAGGGAAAAATTTAAAATGGGACCCATAAATATTCAAAAATTACCAGTGCCGTTGTTGACTGTTGACGGCTATTGTGGGAATCATTTAGATTCGACGAATTCCCAGACATATGCAAAATTGAAATTGGCCCAATAGAATTATCTGGAACATTTTCCAAGTCAGCATCCAAATCTGCCTCAACAGTGCGTCGATAAATTGGATTGTCAAAATGTAGGACAGCAAAATGGCGTGGACGTCTGTGTTGATAGGTATATAACTGGAAATTTTAAATTAAAATTTTTATATATTCTTTTAGGTTATTCCAATAAAAATCCCCAATTATTATCCTAAAAATTTAAAAAAAATACCAAGGCAAAAGCAGCAAAAATAATTAACAATCCAAAGAAGTAAGTACCCATACTTATACTTCCATCATCTTTAATGTGTTTGAATGCTAAAATTAAAAATAAAATTTTAAAAATTTTTCCAAAAAATTTATTAATACATTCACTCGCCGCATCAGCAATAATTCCAAGTGGATTGAGAGGAACACAGAGAGAAGAATTTCCAATGTCAATCTGGAAACCACGTTCACAGGCACAAGAAAATGGAAGTTCTTTTAATGGAGTTTCACGATCTTTCGATTCGCCTTCTAAAAAGATGGAAAAAAATTTTAAGAAAGAATTGTCAAATCTCCCAATTACAACACCCCACCCAAGACGCTTCCCTCATAAACATCCCAGCTCAATTCAGTCCCAAAGGGTTGTTGTATTTGAAAGAATCCAATAAAAATATTTTCTCACTGTATAAAGCTTTTGGTAGACAAATGTGTTGACAATTGCTAAATTCACATTTATTTTCATGTTTTGGTTGTGCTTGTTCATGATATACACGTACAGTCATTGGGCCAGTAACTCCACTCATCAACTATTAAAATAAAATTTTAATGATAAGTAAAACTAATAATTTTTCATAACTAATTTGAAATTGAGAAAAATCGGGTCGGATCTCTGAATTTTTCCGGATCAGATTTTAATTGGGAAACCGTCCGGACTCCGGAGTTCTTCGGGAACCTGGTAAACCGTTACATCTCTAATTCGGAGGTTTGTAACTTGAACCACTTAAAGTTCACACGAATAATTTGCAAATATTCGTTTAAACACAACGGGCTTCTAATAATGAGATAAAATAGACACCATTTGGTTGTACCCAACACAAAGTAAAATTTTACAAAAAATAAAACAAAAAATTAAAAACCTTTTTAACTTCTCCTCCATGAAATTTATTAACAGAGAGAACGCCTTCTTGGTCCCAATCAGTCCAATAAAGACGTTCTTCAAAAACTGCCAAGGAGAAAGGATGACGCAAATATTGATGTGAATGTAAAATTGTTCGAATATTATTTCCCCAATAATCGCTGCTGCTAATTTGTTTTGTTTTAGCATCTGCCCAATAGATTCTTTTGTCCAAAATATCAATTGCCAAACCATTTGGCCAACGAATTGTGTTACCTTTAATTATTACCTAAATAAAAAGGGGATTTCAATAACAAATTTTTAGAATTTGAAAAAACCATCCGATTCTTCCCATCCATTCCAGCTCTCTCAATTCGTGCAGTTTCGCCCCAATCCGTCCAGAAAATTAATCCAGCAGAAGGATCTACAGCTATTGCTCTAGGTTCATCCAAACCATCACCGTTGATAATTGTAGTTCGTTTTTTCTTTTTCAAATCATATACATTTATCTAAAAAATTTGAAAAAATTACTAGACGATAGGAAAAAACCAAAAAAAAACTCTTTGGATATTTTTGGGTTTGCAAGTAGGTAATCGATAGTCGAACATTAACATAATAATTTCAACATAATTGTGTGATACCTTTCGACTAACTCGGGTAGTAGTCCTCGACTACTTCATGTATACACTGAAACATATCCAAAGAATAGTTTAAACATCATACAGTGTCAGTCCCTGTATCTGTCCAAAAGATAAGTCCATGAACCCAATCAATTGCAAGACCATCAGGAGTAGTTACATCTTCAGTAATTCTAGTCAAATTCGGTCCATTACAGGCATTGTTAATACTTTCAAATGTTGCGAGATCTCCTAAACCATTTATGCCCGAGCAAATGACAATCTACAAAATTTTTAACAATCCAAAATGAATTTTTATCTTTATAAAAAAACCTGTTCTTTGCTAACATCAGACCAAACCAAAGTCTTGTTATTGTGCCAATAATCAAGTGCCACAGCAGATTCAAGTTTGTTTATCAATGGATGATATTTGTTCGTAACAATGTCATATTGTCGAATTGCCGCACGATTTGACAAAAGCAACAAAGGATCTGATCCCCGAGCACGACACTTGTGAGGGACAGGTTTATCCATATTTTTGGTTGGAACAGCAAGTCTGTAGCCTGGATAGCAATCACATTCATAGCTACCTGGTATATTTCGGCAAAGTTGATCGCAAGTTCCCACTTGATCACACTCATTTATATCTCAAATAATTACAAATTTTAAAAATAATTTTTAAAAATCATTCGTAATAGTGTAGTAAGCCTCCCTATTTTCCATATTTTACCCAAAAAATATAAAGGTAGGGTCAATTATGTAGAAAAAAACTGCAACAGAGCTTAATGAACTTCTTCATGGAAAGTTTCACGGGCCTCGTGTAGAAAAAATTATGGACTTTAAATAAAAATAAGGGAACCTTCTCATGTCAGGAAAAAATACTTCTGTACCGGACATTTGCTTTTAACATTATGCCCAAAATATTTAAAAATAAAACCTATGCAAACATCCCCACTCAATTGATAACCGCTATTGCAATGACAAATCTTCCCAGTACCAACTCCTGTATTGCGGCATGAACAAGCATTGCTATTCTCTTTGCAAATAACTGTTAAAATAATTTAAAAATATTTTTTCTAATTTGAAAAAAAAACAAACCTATTTGCTCTTTACAAACAGATTTCGTGCAGTCATTTGAATCCAGATTCTTTCGACACAAATCTTGTAGTTTAATACACCGTGTCGGACTTTCCGGACAGGTATACTCTGTATTGGAGTCACAAGTTTGTGTTGACAATTTAATTGGTGAAGTGCAGTTTTTCTCATCAGAACCATCATGACAATCTTCTGTTCCATCACACCAAAGATTTTCATCAATGCATTGACCATCTTTGCAAACTTTTTGTTTAGCTGGACATTTGCTTTTAACACAATTAAATTCATCGCTTCCATCAAAGCTAAACGAATTTTTAAATGGATTAGAAAAAGTTATAAATAATTTACCAATCATGATCTCCATCACAAAGCCAGAATTTACTAATACATTGGACACCACTTTCGCATTTAAATTCCTTAAAAGCGAAATATAGGTGAAATTAAAAAATGAAAAAGAATGGATTTTAGTAACTACAAGGGACTATCATTTACTTTGAGCGCGGATTTGATAAATTTTTTAAAACCATTCGATAGAGCAATAATAAAGCCCACTGAAATTCTACAATCCTCAAGTCACTGTTAACTTGACGAGAGTATGATGAGGAAAAACCCAATAACCCTCAATTTACTAAAGCTATCCCTCAAAAAATGATAAACAAACATGGGCAGTGCAGTTTAATGGGTGAAGATATGGATGTAATTTGTCTGATTTGCAATCAGCTTCATCAGAATGATCAGGACTAAAAAATATTTTTGATGTATTTTTACAAAACAAACAAAAAACTAACCAGTCAGGCTCACCATCACATCTCCATCTTGAATCGATACAAAAATTGTTGGATTTGCACTAAAAACATTATCAATTTTATTTAAGAAATCTTTATTTAAAGATGAGGCACTTGGTAAGATCGGAGGGCACGAAATTGCAGTCATCTTATTGCAATCTTTTCCGTTTCGCTTCAATCACATACATTTAAGGTAGTGGCTCCTAGAGACATCCAGGAACAGTCAATTTAATTGAAAAATCGATAGACACATTATAATAAAGAAAATGTCATCATTTTAGGCCCTCCAATCTTACCGAGTGCCAAATATTAAGGGAAATTTTTAAAAATCAAAAGAAATACTTTGAATTTTCCGATGCCTTCACATGCCGCTTCTTTACAATCTGTCTCATCGCTTCGATCCCTACAATCATGATCGCCATCACAACGCCAATGTTTGTAGATACACTGGCCATCATTACATCTATAAATATAGAAAATTGTGAATAATACATAAAATTGTTGTTAGCAAGACCTCCAAGTCCGGTCTCTATTAGAGGTCGGCGCGGGACGGGATCCCGCGCGGGATTTTGCGGGATCCCGTCCCGCAATCCCGCACTTTTTTCGATTTGCGGGATTTTGCGGGAATGCGGGATTTTGCGGGATTTATCCCGCGGGATCCCGTCCCGCAAAGATTTTTTAAAAAATTTTATCCCGCGGGATCCCGCAAAATATTTCGAATTTTGCGGGATTTTTGGAAAATAGAGGATTTTGGCTCCTAACCTTCTAAATTCAAAAAATTTTCGCCTGCGGCGCTAGAAAAAGGAGAATTTTGACTAGCTGGCCTTCTAAAATCTCGAAATTTTTGCCTGCGGCGCTGAAAAATTTAGGAATTTGGATACTTGGCCTTACAAAATTTTCGCCTGCCGTGCATGGAATCATCTCTATTTCATCAAAACAAAATTGCCCAAATTGTTTTATCACGATGATTGATCCCATTTGTTTCAGCTCAAGCTCAATTCCGACGAATATGTATGAGCTTGCCCCTTATGATTTTTTAATAACTGGGGACCTGGGATAAGTGATTATACCTTTGTACCAACTTATACTCGTAAATTGGTATGAAGTACAATACGTGTACGAGCAACGAGTACGAGTTAAGAACCCGTTAATGATTAGGAAATAGATTTTTTCAATAGATATTGATAATTTTAACGATTTTTGGAAAATCCCGCAATCCCGCGCGGGATCCCGCAAATTTAAAATGCGGGATTTTGCGGGAATGCGGGATTTTGCGGGATTTATCCCGCGGGATCCCGTCCCGCAAAGATTTTTAAAAAAATTTTATCCCGCGGGATCCCGCAAACACGATTTTGCCGACCTCTAGTCTCTATACAAACGACAATTTTACCAAAATTAATTAATTTTCTAAAATTATTAACCTAAATTCGGTTTGATAGTCACAAATATCTTTTGGAGTGTCAGTACAGTTTGCCTCGTCCTTCATATCCAAACAATCAGTCTATTTTTTATAAAAATAAATTTGATATTTGTAAAACAAAAATAAACCTGTCCATCACAAACCCACTCTTTGGGAATGCAAGATGTTAACAAATTGTCAAATCCTTTACATTCAAAATGATTTTCGTCACATTTAATCTCTGAAAGTTTAATTTTATTTCAAACAATAACTTATAAAAAATTTTACTTGGACAGTTCTCCTCATCATCCTTATAAAGACAGTCAGGTTCTCCATCACAACGCCATTCTTTTGGAATACAAGAATGTTTATAAAGTCCAACAGGGCCCAAATGTGTTAGCCAAGGATTTAAGGTCTCTGTTCTAACTCCTTTCTCTGTTGTTCGACAGGAGTATTCGTTAACTTGACATTGTGTTGGCTTATCATCTGAAAATGGACAAATACTTTGTTTACTGCCAAAGTCTTCTACTAATGTAAGACACTCTTGGGACCGAAGTGAGTTGACTAGAAATCAGCTGGGATCCAGACTTTGATTTAGACATGAAGTCAAGAATCCGGTCAATGTCAACAATAAAATCAAGGGAAGGATTACGATCCTTCAAAGAGACGGAATAAAAAACTTTACAATTACCGCAATTCTTTTCATCTTCTCCTTCTTTACAATCCACTTCAGAATCACATAGCCAAGAATTGGGTATGCATTGCAAAGTAGAAGGGCAGAGAAACATGTTTTTAGAGCAAGACTGATCTAAAAAATTTAGGGGTAATGGCTAGTTTTAAATAGCTATTAAGTGGTAATGGCTCTCTTTCTCACTTCTGGTTATTTTTAGTTTACATATATCGAGTAGTCTTCGACTTCATAGCATTGTTTAGATCTTCTAACTACGGCTAAAAGAAGCCACACAAGCTAACTGGGGGTCCGAAACCAGGAGTGGACCAAAGTTTATTATGGATCAAAACGTGCCAAGAGCAATGTCACGAGATACCCGAAATCTTGCCTTTCTCCGACCCGAACCGGAAAATCAGTAACATCACATGCGGCCCAGCACTAACCCAGATAATAAACAAAAGTGAAGAGAGAGAGGGAACGAACCAAAAAGTACCTAAAGGTATTTAACAAAAATAAACCTTTTTTATTAATTAGCGGAATCGGATTTTGTTGAGCAACACGTCCAAACACAACAACATTCTCAAAAACAAGTAAAATAAATATAAACGATAACATTATTTGAAGACTTCTGTTAAGCATTTTTATTAAAATCTAAAAAAAATATTAGCAATAATTTATAAAAAAATAAAGGTGGCCACATTTTTGAATGTCTTTTTAGTGATAAGCAAGGAAAGTATAAAGGGGGGGGGGGGGAGAACTGTTAGGTGGAAAATTTAAAACAACAAATTGATGACTAATCAAAAATACTCAATACTACTCTATACCCTTTTCAGCGCTCATTCTTGCTCATTTTAACTAAAAAATAATAGGGGGAAGGGGGGGGGGTATTTCGAAATAAATTTTTAGACAAATGGATGTATTTGTACTTGGATTTTTTAAATGATTTTTTAATAAAATTGTCTGAAAATTTCTAATATTGAAAAAAAACATTTTGTTAGTACACCTGCCCCGCTTATAAATGTAAACAGAATACCAAAATTTATAGTTAAAGTGAATGAAAAAAAGTAAAAATAATTTATATAGAGTACTAGAAGGAAATGTAAAAAGATAAACAAGGTTTGTGGATAGATAGACTGGATTGAGACGAGATCTTGAACAAAAATCTAGATTATCGAAATTGAGATTCCTTGAGGATCTCAATTCCCGTTCGACATTATCATTACGAGCTGTGTAATATAACCGTTGTTTTACCTATCCAATACATTGACAGAATAATTTTCAAAAATTGAAGAGAAGGCAGGAGGGGGGGGGGCTGTTGAGAAAATTAGAAGAGGGGTAGAGGGGGTATAAAATTAAAATCCCCTTAACTACTATCCCAAAAGAATCCGCCAAAAGCAAAATTCACAAGACAACAATTAGTTGCGTCAATCGATCACTTCTCAATGATCACTAAAATCGATCAAAAACGAACGTGTTTCTATTTTTATCACTTTAACATTAGCTTTAAAGAAGATTTTACACAAACTTCGGCAAATTGCCCTAAATTAACTTTTGTCGAATTACCCATTTGTATTTTGGTGAAATGTAATGTAAATTGTTGTTTTGTAAACTTCGTTTTGTAAAAAAATTTACTATTTAAACTTACTTTTGTGAACTTTCATTTGGCCACAAAACTGATCAGTTTCTTTATTTTTAACATTTTTTAAGTTTATTTTTAGTTAAAAAATAGTTTAAGTCTGAAATTTAACAAATTTAAAAATGATTTTTGACGACGACGATGATGATCCTCAAGAATACGAGGAGAACGAAGACATGCAACATCCAATGGAACAGGACGACGAAGATGATGAACAACAAGAGATGCAGCAACATTTGGATGACGATGAAGAGGAGGACGAAATTTCGGCTGAATTGTGGCAGGTTAATGTGAAATATTGTGTTTATTTGGGTTGTTAAGATTATGCTTGAGATGGGACTGGGTCCTGGTTATAAAGTTCCTCTGATTCTAAAGATTTGGTTCAGGTTCTTTATTTTTTTACATTGGCGGTCAGGCACTTGTATTGTTCTCGATTGACAATGCCTTGTATTTAGTTAGATTTAGTCTTTCTTCTAATCTCCATTCAAGTATTTTTGAGGGGTTCTTGTGTTTATTGCAAGTTCTGATTCCTGTTCTTCATTTGATCCATAGTTAAACTGCTAGAATAAGAGTCAAGGCATTGACTATATTTCACGAATAGTTTATTCTCCTTTCTCGAGGGTGTAACCAATTTTTGCGTATTCATAAGAATAATTTTAGGAAGCTTGTTGGGTGGTTATCTCTGCTTACTTTGATGAGAAAGGCTTAGTACGTCAGCAGTTGGACAGTTTTGACGAATTCATTCAAATGAGCGTTCAACGTATTGTTGAGGAAGCACCGGCAGTGGAACTTCAAACTGAGTTACAACATACAACAGGAGAAATTGAGGCACCAACCAAATTTACTTTGAAATTTGGCCAAATCTATTTGTCTAAACCTACTCATTGGGAAAAGGATGGCGCTCCAACTCCGCTTATGCCTAACGAGGTATTTTATTGGTTTTTAAATACTTTAGGCTTAAATATAGGGCCTCATTGTAAGATACCTTTTCATTGTAGTTCATTTTAGTTTTACTTTTTCAAATTTGGTTGACCATTGAGTGTGTCATAGCTTTATAAGCGATACATTCCCTCTCCTTTTTTAGACATTTTGTTTGACCAAATATAAAATCTTCGATAGGGATTTATTTTTGCTTCCCTTTTTTTATTTTTAAAAAATTTTTCCAAAATAGGCTCGTCTTCGCAATCTGACATATTCATCACCTCTATATGTTGATATTGTCAAAACAATTTCAAAAGAAGGAGAAGAGGATAATGTTCAGCATTACAATAAAGTATTTATTGGAAAGATTCCAATTATGTTAAGGTTCGATTTTTTTAAAATTTAAAATTTTTCTCAAATTTTCCTTTTAAGATCGAGTTATTGTGTTCTTTCAAATTTAACGGACAGAGACTTGACTGAACTCAACGAATGTCCTCTTGATCCTGGTGGTTATTTTGTCATTAATGGTAGCGAGAAGGTATTGATTGCTCAGGAAAAGATGGCTACAAATACGGTTGTTAAAATTTTTTTATTTTTGAAAGGACATTTTTGTTTTTCAGGTTTATGTTTTTGCCATGAAAGATGGAAAATATATGTACAAAACAGAATGTCGCTCTTATTTGGAAGGGTCGAGGTAAATTGAATTTTTATATTACTCTTAATTGAAGAGCCGCGATTACTATAAATTGGCGAGCTCGCTTCACTAAAGCGACCGAAATTCGGAAAACTTTATGGGCTTGTTGGATATGATTCTGGGAGCTCTCCGAAGAAATAGTTCTCAACCTTTCCTACCCCAACCTTTCTGCCTCTGACATTATCTTTTTCATTTTTACTTTATATGCTATATTGTGAGGAAACTTTTCTAGGCTTACGCATTTAATTTTTCGTTGGATGTTATCTTGGGTTTGAATCCCAATATTTTTAACTTCTGACTGAAAGGTTTTGGATAAAATTAAAATACTTTTGAAATATGATTTTTTACTTTATTTACTTCCCTTTAAATTATTCTTTTTATTTTAGTCGTCCAGCTTCTACACTTTGGGTCAACATGACAAACAGAGGAGGTAAATCAGCTAAAACTGCTACTGGCCAGAAAATTGTTGCAATAATTCCATATATTAAACAAGTTTTTAATAATTATTTTTAAATTCAAAATTCTTTTTAAGGAAATCAATGTTATTATTCTCTTTCGTGCTCTTGGTTTTGTTTCTGATCGAGATATTTTAGGTTATTTTTAATAAAAGCTTTTTGTAAGGATTTATTCAATTTTAGAACACATTATTTACGATTTTGATGATCAAGAAATGATGGAACTTTTAAAGCCAAGTTTGGATGAAGCTTTTGTGGTTCAGGTTATTTTTTTATTTTTTGCTGACTAATTGTAGTGGTTGTCTTGGGGTGGGAAAAAAGGTCAGGAACACCACTAGGGACAACAATCTTTATTTTTCAACTTTTTGATTGGATTTTTTATCTTTAAACACTTTTATTTTAGGAACAACAAGTTGCTTTAAATTTTATTGGAACACGAGGAGCTAAACCAGGTGTAACCAAAGAAGCACGTATTCGCTACGCAAAAGAAATCCTTCAAAAAGAAATGCTTCCACACGTTAGTATTGCAGAACATTGTGAAACCAAAAAAGCGGTATTTTAAGTGAAGGTATTTGCGTATAATGTTTTTAGTATTTCCTCGGTTATATGGTACATCGTCTTTTGTTGGCTGCTTTGGGACGTCGTGAACTTGATGATCGTGATCACATGGGAAACAAGCGATTGGAACTTGCTGGTCCTTTGTTGGCATTTCTCTTTCGTGCTCTTTTTAGAAATTTGCTTAAAGAAGTAATTTTTAAGTATATTTTGGGAACAATTAGTTTGTTGGTAGACCGGCTTAATCTTTAATCCCAGTTTATTATTTCAAAACTATATTGAAATTTTTAGGTTCGTCTGGTTGCTCAAAAATATATCAACAAAAATGGAGATTTCAATTTGGATGTCTGTGTTCGACCAACAATAATTACTCGAGGCCTTGCTTATTCACTTGCAACTGGAAATTGGGGCGAACAGAAGAAAGCACATCAAACACGGGCTGGTGTTAGTCAAGTCCTCAATCGTCTTACATATACAGCTACACTTTCACAGTTATTTTTTAAAATCTCTTCATTTTATTAGTTTTTTTAGTTTACGTCGTTGCAATTCGCCAATTGGCCGGGAAGGAAAGTTGGCAAAACCCCGTCAATTACACAATACTCAATGGGGAATGGTTTGCCCTGCAGAAACACCTGAAGGTCAAGCTGTCGGTTTGGTAAAGAATTTGGCTTTGATGGCTTATATTTCTGTTGGATCGCAGCCTGAACCAATTTTGGAATTTCTTGAAGAATGGAGTATGGAGAATTTGGAAGGTTATCTTTTCTTATTTTGCGAAATTAAAATATTGTTGTTCATGCTCGTTTATGTAGACCTGGGATGTTATGGGTTAAGGCACATTTTTCCTGTCCCACTGCATAACCAAATTTACACACAAATTTACACGTCTTTTTTGGATCTATTTTTCTTATTTAACTAAAACAGGAAATTTCAGAAGTTTCCCCTCTCTCAATTGCTGACAGTACAAAAATCTTCGTCAATGGTTCATGGGTTGGTATCCATCGAAATCCAGATCAATTAATGGCTACACTTTTAAAACTTCGTCGTCAAATGGATATTATTGTCAGTGAAGTCAGCATGGTTCGAGATATTCGTGATCGAGAAATTCGAATCAACACTGATCAGGGACGAATTTGCCGACCTCTTTTAATTGTGGAGAGTGGAAAATTAAAGTTGAAGAGACGACATATTGAATTATTAAAAGAACGTGGAACTGGTGAACAACAATTTTCTTGGTCTGATTTGGTTGCTGGTGGAGTTGTTGAACTTATTGATGCTATGGAAGAAGGTATATTAAAAAATTTGAAGAATTTTTCTAGTCGACCAGTCATTTTGGTTTTGATATTTCCACTGACATTTCAACGGCTTTTGGGGGTCGACATTTTAACGTTTTGACATAATGACGCGCTGCGTTTTTAATGAATTCTTTATTTTTTAAGAGACTATAATGGTTGCAATGGTCCCAGAAGACTTGAAAGCTGGTGGTTATTGTGACACTTACACTCATTGTGAAATTCATCCGGCAATGATTTTGGGTGTTTGTGCTTCAATTATACCATTTCCTGACCATAATCAAAGTCCAAGAAACACTTACCAAAGTGCTATGGGAAAACAAGCGATGGGCGTTTATACAACAAATTTCCACGTTCGAATGGATACGCTTGCACATGTTCTCTATTATCCACAAAAACCGTTGGTAACAACTCGTTCAATGGAATATTTACGGTTTTCTTGAAAATTTTTGAATGAAATTATTATTTTATTTTTTAAGTTTTAATGAGCTTCCAGCAGGAATTAATGCGATTGTTGCAATTCTTTCATATGGTGGATACAATCAAGAAGACTCGGTTATTATGAATCAATCAGGAATTGATCGTGGCCTTTTCCGTTCTGTTTTCTACCGGTCTTATAGAGACCAAGAATCGAATATTGACAATGTTAATGAAGAATTGATTGAAAAACCAACACACGACAAGTGTAAAGGTAAAAAATTTTCAAGGAAAGATGGGGTTGGTTTAGAGAGTTCTAAATTTTTAACCGTAACTGAGATTTAGTGTTTCCGAACCGACAACCTTATATACAACATAAATTAGGAATCCAGCTCCCAAATTTCGGACACATTATTTTCTTGAATAGTGGGAATCTTTCAAATATCAAAATGATAAAAAAAATTTTTAAATTTTTCATTTATAGGAATGCGTCACGCTCTCTATGACAAATTAGATGATGATGGAATTAGTTCGCCAGGCACCCGTGTTTCAGGAGATGATGTTATTATTGGCAAAACAATTGCAATAAATGAAAACGAAAATGAACTGGAAGCTACTGCTTCTCGTTATCAAAAACGTGATTCTTCTACATTTTTGCGAAGCAGTGAAACTGGAATTGTTGATCAAGTATATTTTTAAAGTTAATTGGGGAATTATTGAATTAGTAGAAAAAATTAAAAGCTTTTCTTCAAAAATTTAATTTCTTGGAAGAATGGGTATTCAAATTCACTCTAGAATAGGCAGATCCTGGGAGATCCCCGGATATTTTGGTCTAATATACGAACCTATAATTTTTTGGATATCTCCGCCAACACTATCCTAGAGAAGAATTAATTTTTTTATAATTTTTTTTGTAATTTCTCTCAAGGTTATGTTAACAGTAAATGCAGATGGAAACAAATTCGTTAAAATTCGTGTTCGTTCAATTCGTTTACCTCAAATCGGAGATAAATTTGCTTCGCGTCACGGTCAAAAGGGAACAATGGGAATGATGTATAGAGAGGTTTTTGGAGAATTAAAATAATTTTTACCCAAAAATCTTTATAGGAAGATATGCCATTTACTCGTGAAGGTCTTGTTCCAGACATTATAATTAATCCACACGCTGTTCCATCACGTATGACTATTGGACACCTTATAGAATGTCTTCAAGGAAAGGTTTATTAATTTAAAAATTTCTGAAAAAATTCTTTTTTTAAGTTATCAGCAAATAAAGGAGAAATTGGCGATGCAACACCCTTTAATGACACAGTCAACGTACAAAAAATTTCAGCATTATTAGCTGAATATGGTTATCATTTGCGTGGAAATGAAATTATGTACAATGGGTTTACTGGACAAAAATTAACCACACAGGTTTTTAAAAGAAAGTTTTTTGGTACTATCGCATTATTTCCTTCCCATTTTTAAAATTAAATGGACAATGGTTTTTGTTGGATCCGAGATTAATCCCGTAACAATCGTTATAAAAATATAAAAAATAAGCTTTTCATCATTATTGTGTAGGCCAAATTCCAGCTATTTCTTTAAACTAAATCCTGTTCCCCTCTATTAAGGTCCCGGTTTTAATTTAATCTCTGGCCTCTATCAATTTCGTTCCCTTGATTAATTACACTTTCATGCGAAAGGGTGAGCTCTAATTGTCTAGGGTATTTATCTAATTATCCAATCGATTCAAAGAAACAAAAAATGGAAGGAAATTGTTAGGTCCGGATTTTTAAATAAAAAATATTTTTTAAGGTATTTATTGGCCCAACATATTATCAACGTTTAAAACATATGGTGGATGACAAAATTCATTCTAGAGCAAGAGGACCAATTCAAGGAATGAATCGTCAGCCGATGGAGGGAAGAGCTAGGTTTTTAATTAAAAAAATTATTTTTGAATTAACTTTTTTCCTTTAAAGGGATGGAGGTCTTCGTTTTGGCGAAATGGAAAGGGATTGTCAAATCTCCCACGGTTGTGCTCAATTTCTTCGTGAACGTCTTTTTGAAGTTTCTGATCCATACCTTATTTATGTTTGTAATCAATGTGGATTAATTGTTATTGCAAATCAACGGACTAATACATTTGAATGCAAGGTTAGTTGAGAAAAAAATACGGGAAGGGAGAGGGGAGGAATAAACTAAAAATTGGAGGACTGGGTTTCTATTTACTTGAAGTTGTGATAAATGTACATATTTCTTGGATACCTTACTGACCTTTTATTTCTAGCTCACTCAGCTCCAAACCAATAATTTTTTAAAATATTAATTTTAGGCTTGTCGTAACAAAACTCAAGTTTCTGCTGTCCGTATTCCATATGCATTTAAGTTGCTTCTTCAAGAGCTTATGTCAATGTCAATTGCGCCGAGAATGTGTATTAAATAGGAGGAATTTTTTTAAATTAGATGAAGACAAGGAAAAAGGAAATATTTATTTTGATACTCAAAATTTTTTTTTGTCTGTATAATTTATTTTTTTAATTATTTGTTAATTTTTTTTTGTTTTTTTTTAATTTAAATGTGATTTTAAAAATCAAATTTTGATCTTTTTTGATAATTCACCGATAAGGTGGTGTAAGGGTGTTTTGTCCCTCGATCTTCCTATTTGATTGTTTTATTTTTTACATTATGATATTTAGCTTTGAATATTTCTCAAAATGTCTAATTTTATTTTGGTATTTTTTAGAGTACATTTTCTATTAATTTTCTATTTACTCGTCTTTTTTTCGCTAACTTTACTGAAAAATTTCCTCTCTTTTCTAACGTTTTATAACGGCTCCTATACAACTCATCTAATCGTTAACTCATCTATTCGTTAACTCATCTACACGGCCAAAAAGGGTCAACTCATCTAATCGTTAACTCATCTATTCGTTAACTCATCTACACGGCCAAAAAGGGTCAACTCATCTAATCGTTAACTCATCTACACGGCCAAAAACGCTCAACTCATCCAATCCTTGAAATATCGGCCGGTTGAGTCCCTAGCCGGTTGAGTCCCTGGTCAGTTGAGTCTCAACCGGCCCAAGACTCAACCGGCGGCCCAAGACTCAACTCAACTGGTCATGGACTCAACTGGTCATGGACTCAACTGGCCATGGACTCAACTGGCCATGGACTCAACTGGCCATGGACTCAACTGGCCATGGACTCAACTGGCCATGGACTCAACTGGCCATGGACTCAACTGGTCATGGACTCAACTGGCCATGGACTCAACCGGCCCAAGACTCAACCGGCGGTAATCAACCACTCAAACGGCCGGAGACTCAAACGGCCAGAGACTCAGACGGCGAGAGACTCAAACGACTGGTACTCAATAGTCTCGTTCCAAAGGATTGGATGAGTTGAGCGTTTTTGGCCGTGTAGATGAGTTAAGGATTAGATGAGTTGATGATTGGATGAGTTGACCCTTTTTGGCCGTGTAGATGAGTTAACGAATAGATGAGTTAACGATTAGATGAGTTGACCCTTTTTGGACGTGTAGATGAGTTAAGGAATTTTAGCCGTTTAGATGAGTTGAACGTTTTTGGCCGTGTAGATGAGTTAACGAATAGATGAGTTAACCGGACACGTTTATAACTTTTTTTAACGTCAATTTTAAATTTAAGCCAAATTTTTAATAAAAATGTCAACCAATTCATTTACTAAAGCTCAGTATAAATTAGATGATCCTGTTGTGCCTGTATGGGATGATGACAAACAACTTGAAATGGGGTTTGATGCAAAAACGGAAGGATTGACTTTTAGACAACGAAGGCGTTTGCAAGAACGAAATGCTTGGAATAAATATTGGGAAGTTCGTGAGAAGGAGAGTCGGGTTAGTTAAGTTTTTTTTATTTTTGGTCCTTTAACGGGAGGGGCTTGGCTACTTTTTTCTATTAATTGAGCTATGGTTGTTGGCACGTTTTTATGTGCATAGAGTCAAGAACCTGGATGTTAAGAACCTGTTAGGATTTTTCCGGACTACGCTTCAGTATCTGACTCACGTCAGGCCGATCGTCAAAAAGCTTGCCAAGCCCGAATCCAGACTTTCGAAATCTCAATAACTATTTCTCCTATTTCGTTAATGAAATCTTACCTTATTTTTAATTTTATTCTTTTTGACTGTCTTTATTTCCAAATAAAGTTTATGACTAGAAAGTTCATTATTTTTGTGAATTTTATTCTTTAACATTTTTAGGGAACAATTTGGATTCGAGGACGTTATTATGGTCATTATCTATTATCTTTGCCAGTGACTTTTGTTCGTGAGAAGATTATAGAACCTTTACATGACCGTTACCAACCAGTCTACTATCATCGAAAATTGGATCGAGTTCCTGATATTGATCAATGTGGAGTTCATGACAGGGTAAATTTTTTACGATGCTTTACCAATTTCTATGTCAGTTATTTCGAAAGAGTTCTTCGAGCGAATTGTGAGTCAAATAATACATAAATTCCAAACTAAATTGTGTTTTTTGACACTGCGTGGAAAGTCAGTTGGACCGGACATTTTATCTCTGTTTGATAAGTCTAATTTTGTGTTATTTGATTCAGCTCGACGATCTCATTGAAAGAAATGCTCTTTGACTTATGTTAGTCATTGATTGTTTTTCGAAATAAATGGGGGAGGTCAAAGCAACACATTTCTAAAGTTATTACAAAAATTATTTTTAGGTTTGCATTTTTGAAGCAAACGAACAATACAGAATTGACAAAATGGTTGATGCTTACATTGTTAACATTCTGATGTATCGAATGCATGACTGTATAAAATTTTTCGGAAAAGTTAGAATGGGAATGTGTTCTAAATATATTGAGGATTATGAAGAAGCTGATTTGAATTATTTTATCAAGGTTTTTAATGATTTAGAAAAATTTTCAAGATTTTTTTCTTCCCAATTTTCCTTTTGGTTTAACCGGTATTATTTTATATCGGTTTATGGAAGCTTCTGATATTGGAACTTGATCTCTGTAGAGCCCTTTTCGAATGTAATTTCTTTCTGACAATAAGCCTGGATTAAGAAAAATTCCTCTGTTACTTTTATTTAAGATTAAGAACTACTTGACTTATTATGTGGAGAAGATCTGGGTTATTTAATTTTTGAATTTTTAGTATGGAGAAATTGGCACTTCATCTGATGTGGTTGATGCCTATATGAAACAAAAACATCGTTTGATTTGGGAACGGCGTCATCCACAAATTATGGCTGAGCGAAAGCGATTAGTTGAACAACACAAAAAAGATATGGCTGATGGAAAATTTGAGATGAAATTTTGGAACAAGTTTGTTGTTTTCTGAAATTTTTTTGTGTTAATGTGGCGGTTAGAATCTTTTGTTTCTAGTTTTTTGGAATATTTTCAGTACTTCTTGGCCGGAACCGAAAAATTAATACGGGTTTTATTAGGTCGGTTTAGTTGTTGGGTTTGGCCAGGCCCGTAGCCAGGATTTTTTTTCGGGGGGGGGGGGGGGAAATTTTTGCGCCAAATTTTTGGCGCCGAAGGCGCCAAAAATTTTTATTTTCAGCGCCGCAGGCGAAAATTTTTTGAATTTTAGAAGGTCGTAGGCCAAAAAAATTCACTCTTTCGGCGCCGCAGACGCCAAAATTTTGATTTTCAGCGCCGCAGGCAAAAATTTTTTGGATTTTGGACCTTAAGAAGCCAGATTTCTTCCTTTTTTAGCGCCGCAGGCGAAAATTTTTTAAATTTCAGAGGCCGTAGGCCGAAAAAATTCACTTTTTTTGCCCCAGCCCTTCCCCAAATTTTTTCTTTTTCCCATTTCGGGGGGGGGGGGGAATTCCCCCCCTCACCCCCCCCCCTGGCTACGGGCCTGGGTTTGGCACAAGTGTTGGCAACTGTTTATTAACATTTTGATCTGATTCTCAGTCCTTTTGTTTTTATTATAAGTCTTACAATTAGGAGGGTGGTAATTTAAAAAAAACACCGATTTTGGAAACTTTTTTGTTTTACAATTTATATTACGACCTAGTACTACAAAATAATGGCATAATTTTTGATTTTACAATCTCTTATCAATGATTTTTGATTTTTTTAGGTTTGCCTTGTACCAGAAGAAATATGAATATCAAGGAGGGAACTTTTTTGGTCACCATTGGGATAATTCTAAACTTCCACGTTTTGGCGATCAACCAATTTCTAAGGTTTTTTGGGGGATTTTTACAAAGAAATTTTTTTAAATTTTTCTAGGACTGGCGTTACTACAAAAAACTTTCAGAAGATGTCAATTTTGATAAAAGGAATTATCCAATTTGGTTAAACGAGGCTTGTGAAAAGGCTAAAATTTTGGAAGAAGAAATGAAGGCTAAAAATGTTGATTAAAAGTTTTTTTGAATTTAAAAATATAGGAATTTAATTTTGTTTTTGGTTTCCTTTAGAGTAAATTTTGAGTTGAAAAAAGAGGAATGTCATTAACCAAAAAACATTTTTCTTTTGGACGATTTTTGCGGGTTTTTTATTGTTGCGGAATAATATTCGGTTTTTAATGACATTCTGAAAACTTTAGTGAAAATATTTTGTATATTAAATATTGGTTAAGAATATATGTTGATGGAAATAAGATAGCTACTTTTGAGGAAGAGCTGTGAATTTTTTTAGGAAATTTTTTCTCTTGAAAAAATTATTTTTATGGGAGTTTAAGCTTGGGGTTAGATTCTTTGCTTTTTTGTGTAATTTTCTGTTAATTTAATACAAATTTTTCAACATAAGCACCCCCAAGTTATCCTAGAAAAAGTAGCTATTTTTGTCGACAAATAAATTTATTGAGTTGCTCAAGAATCTTTTTTGTTAGCAATTCTTTAAATAATTTCCTTTTTTGTTATTTTTATGTTTAAAATTTTTTGTATTTTTTAAAAATTATTTCGAATGCTTTAAACGCATATTTAATTACTTTATTCTTGTTTTTAAATTTAATTTTAAATTGAATTTTGAATTTTTCAGGGCGATTGCGCACTTACTCAACATTTTTAATTTAAATTTGTAACAACACCTACCTAGTTTTCTTTCTAAAAATGCATATTAAAGAGTAGTAAGTATTTTTATTCATTTTTAATAATGATTTTGGTTTTGTGACTTTTCTTCTCCGTTTGATTTTTGTTGGCAAAAAGCTTGCAATTTTTGTCCGAAAATTTTTGAACGATTTCCGAATAGTCTTTAAAATGAAAGACGCTTTTATAAAACTTTAACTTTCTTTTAGTCGAATTGTTTTGCCAATGAGTGTTGAGGAATACCAAATTGGACAGTTGTATTCTGTGGCTCAGGCTTCCAAGCAGGTTTAAAAAATTCATTTCTAAAGCTTCCTTAAGGGATTTCCTAGAGGGGTGAGTACGGGAAATTCCATTAACTTCCAGTCTTGAATTTAATTTTTTTGGGAGTTTTTCTCATGTGCCTTTTTGGAGGCTTCTATCCAATTTTTTCGGATTACGTTTTGTCCTTAATCAAATTTAACATTGAAACTATTTTTTTATAAAGGAAACTGGAGGTGGAGAGGGTGTCGAAGTATTGGTCAATCAACAGTTTGATGACATTCCACTGTTCAATGGAAAATACACTTCGGGTCAATATACACACAAAATATATCATTTGGAATCAAAAGTGCCGTCAATCGTCAAAGCGATTTTACCAAAAGGCTCAATGGCTATCCACGAACATGCTTGGAATGCGTATCCCTATTGCAAGACAGAATTGACCAATCCGGACTATATGAAGGATAATTTCTTTGTTCGAATTGAGACGATCCATTTGGATAACGATAGAGGGCATACCAAAAATGTATAGAAATTTTTATTTAAAATTATATTAGAATTGGATTCCTTTCCTAGAAATTCGAATTTTTTTTGGTATTCTCTTTGCCTGCCCCTGTATTCATTCTTTTTAGACATGCTTGTAAGGGCGTATCGAAAAAAAGGGGAGACTAGAGACCCCGTTTACCTCCTCTCCTCGACCCTTGGATACGCCCCTACCGGCCACCATTAATTCATTTTAAGGGGGAGCATCCACTTTAAATAGATATAATTACAAAAATAAATCGAAAAATGCGTTACTCTTTTTTTAATGAATAGATTATGCAATATACTTATCTTTCTAGTTTTATTTTAATTGTTTCGGTATAACAATAATTTAAAATGGCTACAGAATAATTTATGAATTAATTGTGACCTTAAATTTATAATTTTTTGAACACAATTAACATTTAATACAAAAATTTCCCAAAAATTTATTTTTTTGGGTACCTGAAAGTTTTGAATTAAATAATCTATGATTTCTCTATTAAAATTATTTTAAAAATTAAAAAATAATATCTTTAAGGCACACCATTTGCCCGATAATATTTTGAGAAATCGAGAAGTTGTTCACATTGATATTGCCAATGATAAAGAATTTCTTTATTCCTCGGTTTATTTTTAAATTTAAAAAATAATTAATTTTTTAAAGGATATTGTTGATGAAACAAGCCCTTCAAAGTTTCATTCTTCCAAAGCAGACCGCGGTCCTCTTCATGGAGGTTGGCGAAAAAACATTCAACCGGTTATGTGTGCATATAAATTGGTTACAATTTATTTTAAATGGTTTGGATTGCAAAATATGGTTGAAATGTTTGGACACAAGGTTTGAAAGATTTTTAGAAATTTTCTTTTAATTGAAACTTCTTTTTGTTATATTCTTTTGAATCAAAAAGTTGGTATTTATCCCTTTTGCCGCACCTCATTCCAAATCAATAAATGCCACAAATATTTAATAGTTTTTGTGTTTTATTTTGTCAGTGGTTATTTATTAAATAAAAAATCTGTTGAATTTTTCCAATAATTCAACCGCTTTTTTCCCAAAATTTCAACATTTAGCTTAACGTGTCTATTAAGGTCGGTTAAAACCGACAATTTTAGCTTCCGCCACTGTAATAGTCAAATTTCGACCTACATAGTGACAAACATGTTAAGTACTTATTGTTAGCAAAATTTTCTTTTGAAAATTTCAAAAAAAAACTTTTATTTTAAGCAATACCCTCGTCTTTTCTGTAAATTCCATCGAGAAGTTTTCTGTTGGATAGATGAGTGGTATGGATTGACTCTTGTGGAAATTCGTGAACTTGAGGAGCAAACTAAAAGGGAGTTGGATGAGGTTAGTTTTTAATGAATTTTTTTATTTGGTGGTCTTATGTTGATTTTTTGGTTGGAATCTTCTTTTTTTGGGTTTCCCCGTAGTGGTTCCTTTTTCGTTCTATCCCCTTCAGTTTTAATATTCAGTTTACTAAGCCCTTTTGATAATTAAATTAAGCTTCATTTTATGTAAAATTAACATTTTTGATTTATTTTTGAGAAGAAAAACGGCACTTTTGCTAATAAAATTTTATAAACAAATTTTTATTTTATCTTTATTTTCACAGGCGCGTAAGTCTGGAAAGCCGAGAGGTATGACTGCCTAATATATTAACTATAGTATAGAATAATTGTTGTGAGTATATGGAATATATAAAAAGAGAAGAGAAAGGTTTAAATAAATAAAAAAAGTCTTTAAAAAGAATTGACAATAATAATTTTGTTAACTAAAAAAATATATTTTTGATTTTACTCTAAAAAATATTATATAATTTATATAAATAGGGATTGTTGTCTGATAATTTTTTTAGAATTGACAATCCTATTTATAGATAATAGGGATGGGAGAAGGGTTGTTCGTTAGCTCGGAATTTTTAATTGAAATTTTTTTGGAAGAATTTTGGAGGCCTTCAAAAGAAATTTGTTTATGGCGTTAAAAATTAAAATTTTGGAGCCTTTTAAGGGAATATAATCTTTGTATTTCAGTTAACTGAAGAATTTTCTTAAACCTGTAAAATAGGGTTTTGTTGTTTTGAAACAAGAAAAATCTTCGAAAATTGAAATTTCGAAACAACCCTATTTTAAACAAATTATGAAAGAAAAGACTCAATTAAATTTGCTTCCAGAATTTAAATTGAAAATAAAAATTTTCTAACTAAAAAAACTTTCGGCTCGAAATTCGAGATTTTTTCTTCTCAACCCCCCTCCCCTCTCCCATCCTACCTATAATACAAACATATAATTGTATATTTTTGAATTATTTTTGTTTGTGTTCAGTTATTTGATATCCTCTTTTTTGTGTTTCTAAATTTTACTAGTGATAGAAAATAAATTAATTAAACTTTGTGGCTACACAAATATAAAAAATTTGAATTTTGTTTTTTTAGTTCAAGAATTTATAGATTAATTAATGTGATTTTTATTAGAGCCCGGACAGACTTCAATTCTTTTGCATGTGTTGAAGAATAAAGTCTGTCCGGCCTCTGCTATTTTTTAAAGGCTATACTAGAGATTAAAGGCTATACTACTATCAAATTACAGACGCATTTTACTGTCTAAATCGTATAATTCTGAAACCACACTGCACCCCTTCTTCAGCCCCTTCGAGTTGGTTATATCGAACTTTAATCAAATTTAGTATCACATCTGATTTAATATCGAGTAATTGGTCTCACCAGTATAGCCTTTAAAAAATAAAATAATAATTTTGAAAACAAAAAACAGAACTTTTAAATATCTCAAAAAGGGGCAAAATTTATCACATAAATTTTAAAAAATAAATAAAAATAACGCAATTGTTTTTCTTAAATAATTAATAAATGTAGCAATTTAAATAAAAGAAAATTTTGTGTTTAAATAATTTTAAAAAATCAAAAAATTAGTTTAGAAAAGAAGCATTAGAAAATAAATTAGTCAATAACACAGCAAAAATGTTCATTATCATCATCTTCATCAGTAAATAAAGGACTATTATCACATTCAACGTTTAGACCCTATAAAAAATTAATCTAAAAAATCTCGACTCGAGATTTGTTTTAATTTTGTGTAAGAGGAATAAAAATTTAAATAAAAAACTGAGAGACTAATTATAGCGAGAGGCCAAACAAAATAATGTTGTGCTTAATAACTAGCGATGGGTTTGGCCACTGGGGTTGATATCAGGACACTCTGGCAGTTTTTTTGTGACTCTGCCCGTTGGAAAGCCTATCGGCTTTAGGGGCGCGCTTCGCGCGCCGCTAGCGATATTTTTATGACTGAAAAGCGATGGGTTTGGCCACTGGGGTTGATATCAGGACACTGTGGCGGTTAAATTTTGCTCTTGGTTTAAATTTGGCTCTGCCCGTTCGAAAGCCTAACGGCTTTGGGGGCGCGCTTCGCGCGCCGCTAGCGATTTTTTATGCCTGGAACAAAAGATTAACCTTCATTGGGACTCATCCTTCCACTTAGAGTCACTTCGGGCCTTCGGCCCTCGTCTTCCCCTCATTTGGACTCATCCTTCCACTTAGAGTCACTTCGGGCCTTCGGCCCTCGTGTTCCCTCTGTTTGGACTCATCCTTCCAGTTAGAGTCACTTCGGGCCTTCGGCCCTCGTGTTCCCTCTGTTTGGACTCATCCTTTCACTTAGAGTCACTTCGGGCCTTCGGCCCTCGCCCTTCCTTTTAGATGTGTATCAGCTCGGGCCT